GTTAATTATTTGTCACTCATATAAAACTATATATGCTCATGACAAACAATGTCACTGAAGTGCATAGCACCCTGTGAACATGCATTCAACTACAGGACTGTGAGCCTGAAAAAGCCAAGGCAACAGACAAACAAAAAGCCCACTGCCCTAAGCACCTCTATCTCCTCAGCTGTGTGTCATGAGAAGTTACAGGAACAAAAGAAACCCTCAACTGAAACAGACCAAAATCCCAAATAATTAAAAAAAAATACTCGGATCATTCTCTGAAAGCACTTCTGATCTCCAAGGTGCAACCTAGTGTCTTCAACAATACTCCTTGATAAGGTCTAATAGCAGAAGCATGGTAAATAACTAAAATTAAACTTATTCTGAGCATTTCCAGAATTACTTATAAGTAGCATCCTGCTAACAGCAAAAGACTGTATTTAACATTATAGTAGCAATCCCCCATTGCTGCTACTGCTCTTGGAAACTTGGCAGAAAGGCTTGTGGCAGCAACCTGCTCCCGTCAGTTGTGGGCATAATGAACTTTGAGCATTTGATCATTGAAGCTCAAAAGGATTTACCCACCAAGTTTTGAAACAGTAAAATGACTTTCCAAAAATCAGTGTCTACACAGCTCTAATATATCACAAACCTCCCAAGCTAGCTGTCAGAGGTGTCTCCGGGGCTGATGTCATAGCACTGGGCAGTGCTGCAGCCCCCAGCACTTCCTCTTCCTCCTCTTCCTCAGTAGAGCTGCTGCTTTGAGTCTCATTTAAATCTATTGCTTCATCTGAGCTCTGTTCCTGGCTGTCCCCTGCAGTATGCAAGGGCTCCATACGCGGAACTTGTCCTGCAGCTGGCTGCTGGGTCCTGCTGAATCCAAAGTAACTGTCCAATGCTGCCCTGAGTGCAGAAAAGCAAGAAACAAAAGCCAGAGTTATTTCAGAGAAGCTAAAGACTCCACATGCTTCTCCATGCTTGTTTGTGGTTAAAATTCCTAGGCTGTGGCTACAATAGCAAGGTATCCAAGTTAAAGACAGACCTTCTCTGGTAGAGGGGCAATCCAAATCAATCATCTGCTTTATGAGCAACCAGCAGTATCATACAGCAGCCACTCACTTTGCTCAGCTCAAAGAGAATCTCCTTGTTACAACAACAATACTGTATTCTTTTTGGGTGCTGTGGGTTGGAGAGAAGCAAAGCAAAGAACTGTTGCTCACTAATAGCCTAAGGAACTCCTAATCAGTACCTCCAATCCTAACTCACACCTAGTTCCTATAGTCACTGGTAATATTAGATGCACAAGACTTGTATCAAAGTTTCATTCTATTGACCACTTTGTGCCTAGTCTGTCTACTTTCCTATTTCCTATCCATCCCTGGATTGAAACACCTTCCTCTCTCCCTCAGCAGTTCAATATCATTTCAATTATCCATCAGATTCAAAAGAAGTTTTTCAGGTTGCTTTCTAGCCCAAAAGAACTACAGTGATCTTCGTACACAATCTGAGGGCAAACAGTAGTTATGATCAATGATCTGGGAGAAGACGAGTTCTTGGTCTCCCTGAATTAAAAGCAATGCTCCAGTTAATTAAAATTTCACCTTTGGCATTTACAAAAGCTACAAAGATGAGACAAAACCCAAACAAACCGGTAATGGGAGTTTCTTACTGGCTGCAGAGCATCTGCACTCATCAACCTTTATACCCATCACAGACAGCATTAAACACAGTATTTTTGTCTTTGCCTGGAGGTAAAGAAATATAACCCCCTACAGAAAAATATTAGTGTGTATGTTTGGGAAAGTTTTTGCCAAAATAGGCACAAGAAAATGTAATCAGGTAGTCCCCAAATCAAAAGTGAAATGCAAAACAGAGCACAAGCTCCTCTGAGCTGTCTGGAACTGCCAAGAGTCAGCACAGCAGGAATCTGCCAGAGCAGAGGGAACAGTGAGGGCAGCTCTACAAGCAAGACAGAAAATGCAGAAGGGTTCAGGAATCAACACAAGAAAAAGGGGAAATTTACTTAACATGAGCAAAGATTGTTCCAGAAGAGGTCAGAAAGTCTGTGCTATTCTTCAGCTTAAAAGGTACACAAGGAGCCCAGAATTTGGCCACAGCTACACACCTGGACTGAGCTGGGCTATTTATAAGCCAGGAAGCAAGGCAGTTTTAAATGATGCCAGACTTAACAACAGTGTGTTCAGACTCTACTTCATCTCTGCTTTACCTGGCACTGATTGTCCTCTGGGAACCACCAAGTTGCTGGTGGCTGCGACCTCTCCTGACCCACAGATGCATGACCTGTACCCCTTGCAGCCTTTGGAGTACACTGGGAGCAGTGACAGGACACAACTGTGGGTCAGGCTCAGCAGCTGCTTCCTCTGTACCAGCATTTGGTGTGACAACAGTGTCATCAGCAAGAAGAGCTGCAGCACTATCTCCTTCACTGAGGGCCAGTGCCTGGGATGACAACACAGCATGACCAGCGGGCTCTGTGGAAAGTGTGTTGGAATTCTCTGTAGAGGAACCAGCCTCTGCTTGGAGATCAACTTCCATCTCTTCTTGAGCCATTTCTGCAAAGAGTTGAAGAAAAACAGTATTAATTTGCAAGTGTGCACTCTACGTCCAGACTGATGGTAGCAAGAATAAGCAATAACTGACTACAAAGCCTTTAGAATTCAGACTCCAGAGAAGACTTTCTCCCTTTGCAGTAGAGCTAAATCATCTCAAGTTGACACATGTACATGAGTGGGCATAGCAGACAGAAGTCTTTGGCTTAACAGCAGCTAGCACAAAGGCACATCACAAAATCAACTTAAGTAAGCCTTTGAATGAATATGGAAAGTTAAGGATTTTTTGCTGGCATAATTTGACAATAAATTCTTGTGGAGAACAGAGTTTAGAAGTAATGAGAGACTCTCCATTGTGAGAGGCACTGCACAAACACCCACAGACAGCCAGAAACAAGCTCTACAATGCAGTCCTTTGTTTCATCGCTCTCAGGTTGAATTTTCAAGTTTCTCTAAATAAGATTCTGTATAACAGGGCAGTGTGATCCATACCCACAGCTTACTTCATATATAAGTATGAAGAATATAAGGTCTTTCAGGTACCTTATATTCACCACCACCACACAAACCCCAAAAGGGTATCACAGCAGAACCCACATCCAAGATGTCACAGACAGCAAGCTACCTACAGCACCAGCATTTGTGGGTCCAGATTCAGTCTCAGGCTACTCTAGTCACCCTGTTCTACAGGCAGTCTCACAACACTAAAGTTCAAGATTATTTCACCAATTGGATAAATAAATGTGTAAAAGAATAAAATACTCCTTTTCTGAAGGACATACATGGATTACATTTCACAAACAGCTGAAAAACTTTTCATTCTCCAAAAAAAATACTTAGGCAACCATAAGCCTGAAAGGCCTTGGGAATTGAGGACCTTTACCATCACTTACGAATCCAAAGCAGACACTAAGATTTATTAGGCTAGGTACTGTGCAAACAGAGCAAAGACTGCTTTGAGTACCCAGAATAAGAAAGAATACCCAGAAAATGTATATAAGAATTACTAGAACGACTTATTTGAGTATCACTGGCAATGCTCAAATATTTCTATAGACCTGTTAAGAAATCCTAACTTAAGAATCATTTTATAATTCTTATCCTAATTAGCAATTCAGCATAAGTTAGGCCAAACCCAGATGTTAAATGTCACCTCTCGGCAGAACAATCGTGAAGTCCACATATAATATTCAATGCTCAAATACTGCTTCTCCAGCGTTCAACTCACGTTTATGATAAACTTGTCACCTATAAGCACAACAGACTCTTTATCTTCCTTGTAAATTAACCCTGAGACTGGAAAACACCGCCCACATTCACCACTGTGGGCTAACTAACTCTGCATATGTCTCAACACACACCATTTCCAACATGACACCCTGGAGTTTTCCGGAGGGCGCGGAAGCCAGAACTTCCTCCACCCAGGATTCCAGGGGTCCCTGGGCGAGCCGCAGACGGAAGGTCTCCACCAACAGACTTTGGCCCAGACGAGCAACGTCCCAGCGCTTCCAGCAGACACAGCCAGGAGGCTCCACAGACCCTCTGCAGCACTGACTTGGCGGCCTAACTGAAGCACCAGCTTCCCCTGGCGTAGGGCCTCCTCCCCTGCTCGGGCAAACCCTGCTCTACATCTCCAGCTGTTACAACGCCGCGTCTGCTTTAACATAAAGTTAACCAAAAGGACCCAAACACGACCCAAAACTCAGCACACGCTCCACAAACACCAGTTTATTTCTGGCTTCTTACAAGGCTCGCTTGTTTTAACCAAGAACCAGTCACACGAGCGGCGCCGGAAGGGGAAACCTCTCCTCCAGCAGCCGCGGGCACCCCCCGCGCTCGGGACGCCAGCCCCGACCATCCAGCAAGCGCCTCAGGCTGCGGCCCGCCATCACACAGGCCTCCCGTCGCCCTGCCCCGAAGAGACCAACCAGCAGCAGGCCCCGCACTCCTCCAGCGCGGCCTGCCCCGCGGCGGAGGCCCAGCCGCGCCCTCGGGGGAAGCCAAGCCGGGCCGGGCCGGGCCGGGCCGGGCCCGCCACTCACCGACCGATGGGGACGCCCCCACAACTCGCTCGAGCTCCCCGCCGCCCAACCTCTGCCGCCCTACTGGCTAAGTACGAGCTCTACGTGCCCTTCTATAGGGCAAGCCGGGCTCAGGCCCGCCTTCTCATTGGCCAGCAGATCTGTCCGTCTGGTCGACAGCACGGAGGTGGAAAGGAAAAGGGGCGAGAAGGCAGGGCTTGTTTTGATTGGCTAGAGAGCCGAGCGGAGGGCCCGGCTGATTGGGCTGTGAGACCCCGGACAGCCGCGGGGGGGAGGGGAAATGAGTTTCCATCGGGGGAGCCGCCCCGCGGCGAAAAGAGCGGGAACTCGAGCGCATTCAAACAGAGTGCGGGGCGCTGTCATGGCGGCGGGACTCACCGAGAGACGGCACTGAGGCAGCGGCGGGGCTGCAGCCTTGTGCCCTCCCTCTAGTTCCCTTCACGTCTCCCCGGCTGCTCCTGCCAGCCTCCCTTTGCGTCCCCCCCTTTGTAGCCCCTGGAGCCAACATCTCCAGGGTAAAGCCTGTGGCAGGGTGCCCTCGCCTCAGACCCCTGTAAGGGTGAGGGTCTCAAACATAAGTGTATTGAACAAGCAGTCTCTGTGAGCAGGAAAGGGGGGCGAGTAGCACGCTGTGTGCTGCTTCTCCCCCTTGGGTTACTCCAAAGCTCCCAGCTGCTTTCAGCTGCCCACCCATGCTTCCCAGTTAGCTTCCTTGGTTTCTGCTTCTCTCCAGGTCAGACAGTGCATCCACGATCTCTGCAGAACACAGCAAGAGCATTAATCGAAACTGACATCTAAACAGAGTGTTTGGTGGAGGCTTTTGCTTTCCCACCTCAATGGAAGACAGCTTTATGTCATAGATAACAGCCAGGACATGGAGTCACTGTCTCCTCAGGCCAACACAACTGGGTAGACATGAGAATCATAAAATCCTAGCCTGTTTTGGGTTGGAAGGGACCTCAAAGCTCATCCAGTTCTAACCCCTGCCACAGGCAGGGACACCTTCCACTAGATGAGGCTGCTCCAAGCCATATCCAAGCCGGCCTTGAACACTGCCAGGGATGGGGCAGCCACAGCTTCTCTTGGGCAGCCTGTGCCAGGGCCTCAGCACTGTCAAAACCCAGACTGAATTCAGAGACAGTTAAATCTTTCCTCCCTTAGAGCAGCTCCTGAGATTGCAATTTATTGCTCAAAGCCCAAGGCAGAAAGTGTTCCTGCACCATGTTGTGGCTGCTCCTCCAGTTTATGGGATCTGCAGGATCTGAGTGGGGATTAACACACACAGCCCTGCTCCCAGGTCTGTCCAAGAGAAAAAGCTTACTGTTATGGGATGCTAAGTGAACATCCTGGTGATAATTGCATAAACCTTAACTGTATGAGCCATCAGTTACAGGAGGAAGAAAGGTCTGGTGTTAGGGGACTTGTTAGCATAGGAAGGTGAATCAAGGACCAATCCCAAAACACAAAACCAGACAAATTCATATGGAAAATAAGGGGCAAACTGGGTGCTGCAGCAGCTGATTGGGGGATACAAAGGGTCTGTGGAGCAGATATCCAGGATACTTACCCTCAGCAGAAGGGTGCTGGGAAGGGTCAAAGGCTCGGCACTGGTCAATGACTTTAAGCAGCTCTTCGGGACAATCATCCCCAACAGGTTCCTGGTATTGGTGCTTGCAGATTTTCTCCATGATCTCCTGGGCAGTGCAGCCTGAACAGCAGACGGGCGAACATGAGTGTCAGGATGGAGCTTTGCTGCCACAGGAGGGTGCTGCGGAGGAAATCCAGTGCAGAGCCACGCCAACAGCCTTTCTGCAGCCCTCAGCATGGAGAAGGCTGCAGAGAAGCCACCCAAACTGTGTCTGCAATGAATTTCCCTCATATTTGGCATGACATTATTGGGTTCCAGTAGAGCAAGATGTGTTTATGCTTCAGTGCACAGGAACATCAAATAGAGACAAAAATTACTTGCATGTTTGTGGTTTAAGCATCTTGCTGAAATGCTTTACTGTGCTGTATATCCCAGGGATGCTCTGGGAAGGAGCAGAGAGCACTCAGTACCAGACAGGAGCTACAGTGGGCCATATGGCTTTTACACAGGGGACCAGATACTTCTGTCTCACCTTCAAATGGGATTTTGGAGGTAGCAATCTCCTCCAGCACGATCCCAAAGCTGCAAGAAGACAAGTAAGAGTCTGAGCATTCATCCCACCATGTTATCCTCCCTGTGCCAATCGCAAACATCTGCTTATGTGGATGATTAAACCTTGGCCTTCTTTTACAGCTCAACAGCGACCCTGCATGGCATCTGTCTGCTTACAGACATCTCTCGGGAAGGACGGCCACACTTGTATATTTCACAAGGCCGCCTGTAGGGGTGTAGTTGACGTCTTTCAGGTTCTCAGGAGCAATGTAAGCCAACATAGAGACTTGTTTCCAGTTATTCTTGGCTTTCCTCTTGACGAATGACTCCGTTTCACACAGCTCAAATCCTGAAAGCTGATTGAGAGAATGAGAGAGAGAAAGGGCAAAGGGGCAGATGTGCAAAAAGCTGTAGAGAAAACAGAGTGAGATGTCCTGGGCAGTAAAGGCTGTCATGCGGCCACATGTGCTTCCCAGCACATGGCTCTGTCTGCAAGTGAAGTATCGAGTGAAGGCAGGTGAATTGCCCTGGTTTCAGCTCATCTCAGGGTGGATGGCTCAGAAATGCTTACTTTGATGACGATAAAACAGAAATAATGATGAACTGAGGTGTCAGTGTCCAAGGTGACAGAGGAGATGGTTCTACTCTGGGTTTTAATCTGGACCATCATAATTTCCTTCGGTGTTAGCAGGCAGAGACATCCACAAAAACACACCGAACTCCCCAAAAGTTCTCCAGGTATGGCTCTTACCTTCAAACAGTAATCCCCGTCCACCAGGAACTTGCTGCTGCAGATGCAGCCATGGAGTCGGGACTTCTCCTCCATCTGGTGCAACCTGCATCCAAGGGCAACATATGCTGGTAATGGACCCACCCTGACCTCGGGGCTCCCTCCCGCTGCACAGGGGATGGACTGACATCTACCCAGAAAAGCCAGCAGCTCTCTGCCTGTCTTGGTGGACCAGTCTTGCCAAGCCAACCTTTCCAGCAGGGCAAAATAATGAGCCTTGTGGATAAGGACCCATAAGGAGAACTGGTCATGCTGTGGGGTGCTCCTGAAGCTGCCCTATGGGTGTGGGAAAGGGAGTTTCTCCCTCCCAGGCCTTTGCAGGCTTGAAGTGGGAGGTAGGTGCCAGTGACCAGAGAAAATGGGTGCATCGAAACCCACTCCCTACCACTTCACCAGCCTCCTATCCCAGTGTCCAAAGGTGGTGGAAACAGTGTCTGCCAGGATACCACTGCATACTGAGAGATACCAGGAAGCTGAGCATGGCTTATGGATTCTAAGGCAGACTTACTCACTGGTTTGTGGAGGAGCTCACCTGTAAAGGCCTCTGGCAGATCCCAGAGCCATCCGAATGTGAATGTCCCAGGAGAGATGCTGTTGCTTGGTCAGCACATCCCGCAGTGTCCCATGCTTGCAGTACTCCATGACAATGGAGAAGCAGGGGCTCCCATCTGCAAAGCAAAATTTTGAGTATCCCACCTTCTGCAACCTCTTGGGAGGGGACCGTGACAAACTGAGTTGGGGACAGGCAGGGAAGGGAAAAGGTGACATTAATGTGGCACCCCCTACCTTTCTCCTCAATGCAGATCCCATACACACGCAGGATGTTTGGAGACTCAAACTTCTTCAGGGTCTGAACCTCCTTCTCAAAGATGTCTTACCTTCCTGCAGAAAGGAACAGCATGGTGAGATCCCTGCAACAGGGCACAACATGGTGCTGAGCCACCCCCCTGTCCCAGGTGCCCTGTGTTGCCTCCACCCTGACAACTCAAGCCAGGTCGGTGGTCATGGCCTCTTGAAGGTTTTGATGGCAACGGGGTACTTGAGGTACTCGCCCTTGTAGAGGTTGTAGCTCTCAGTGTCCTGCAGTTTCCTGTTGAAGGTGAGGTGGTCCCACTTGATCTCAGTGACGTCTTCTCTTTTACCAACATTGACCTTCTTCAAGCCTGCTCCCGCCAGGTGCCAAGAGAGAACAAGGGACACATTACACAGATCTCAGAGGGGAAAGACACAATAAACAGGATGCCTTAAGTTGTCACCCAGATTACAGTGCATCACACACACGATTTTGTTCAGCTCGCTTTGCATCCAGTCCACCTTGCTCTCCATACATTGCCTGTCAATGTAGATCTCCCTGGTCGTGTCTTCAGGCTCCTCAGTACCTGGAGAGAGAAATGTGCAAAGTTGGGACCACTGGATGAACATGTGGGACTGATCCAGTTAGGTTTTTTTCTCATGGTTTAAATGTCCATCTGTCTGTCCTTGGACATGGCCATCAAGCCGAAGGTGGGCAGCAGCTGCAGGGAGGTGCCAACCTCAGGGAAAGAGGGTTTGCTAAATGCAAACTTACTTGCAATTACCTGGTGCAAGAAAGCCTTATCATCCCTCAGGTCCTCAGCATCCTGCCTGCGGCATGTCTTTGCCTGGAAAGCCTCCAGGAAAGCCTGGTTCTGCTCTGCCTGGAGGAGGAGCGAGAGCCCCTGGGCAATGTCCTCCAGGCTTTCATTCTCCCAAACTCCTCACCCATGCTTCGGGCTCTCAGGAACTTCTGGATCCAGCTGGTCTGGCTGTATTTCATCACCAGCCTCTGGGCTTCCCCCAGCGTCCCCAGCAGCTTCTTCAGCAGTTCCTCTTCATGGTAGGAGATGTGTTTTGACAGCTGAGCCTTGAGGATCCTCACAGGCTCCAGCAGAATCTGGATGCGCTCCACAAGGCGCTGGCACTGGTGCTTACAGCACTTGACCTGCTTGAATTGGGCATGGATGGCCTGGGCCACAGAAAGGACCCTCTCCACAATGTCCATGCTTGCAGCAAAGGGCTTGGCCACTGGGGATGTGGACTGGCAGTGTCTAGTGGAGGTGGGCCTCAGATATTGTTCAGAGATCAGCTGGATATCACTCTTCTATGCCTTCTTCTAAGACTGGAGTAGGCACACACAGAGACATCACTAGGAGCAGTATGGCCACATCTCACTCTGCATTAGCAGATGTTTTGGCTTGATTTATATAAAATAATTTACTGCTAGCTGTCTCCAGAGAGCTTACACAGAGACTGGCCCCACACCACCTTGGGGTCCTGCCCCAGAGCCTACATCTTTGACCATAAAGATCCATTTTTATTTCTAGTCAATGTCTCTCTGTTGTCACCCATCTAATGAAAGCTCTTATACCGTCACATCCCCAGTGTTCTTGACTTCATGTTTTCTCCCTCTAGCTCTGTATTGCCCTCTTAAGATTTTCAATCAAACTCTTTCTATGTGCTTAGCATTCCCACAGGGATAGTCCCTCCTCCCCATCCCATGTCCAGGCAGCTGGGACAGAAAGCTGCCCCTGTTGCACGGAAATGAGCAGCAGCCACCCACATCACTGATGCAGACAGCACTAAGAGAGGGGAGCCAGGCTCTACCAGCTGGAAACAAGACAGAAACGCACCCAGAAACCAGCTCAGCTTCTTGCCCTTCTTCTTTGTCTCTCTCTAGCGTGGCCCCAAAGAAAGAATCAGCTCATCTGCTTGCTAAATCAGCTGGGTTTACCTGGCTCCGCTTCGCTCCCCACGGCTGTCTCCACAGACTGAGAGACACGGCAGGACCACTGCATGTTTATAGGGTGCATTCATAGGGTGCTTTCCCCTTCTGCTCCCAGGCAGCGGAAGAGGCATTACGCAACCTGCTGTACTTCCCACGCCACCCTGATTTCCCTTTCCCAGCAGCCTTCTTGGGTGTCAGAGGAAGCTGCCAGGTGGGCTCTATCTGACTGTGCTGGGTTTTGCCTGCTGGAAGAAGGCACTGTCTGTGGGAAGCACCTGGAAGGAAGGGGGTGGGAGAAGCTGTGCTCCCCATATTGACACTTGTTGCTATTTGGAACACTGCAATCCCTTCTGCTGTGGGCTAGCATCCCTCCCCAGTCCTCAATGGGGCTGCTGGACCCTGCCTCCTTCCTGAGGATTGTGCCACAGCAGCGGACCCACACTGCAGCATCCCTGTGGTGCGCTGCCAAGGACAGAAAGCCAACCATGTCCTGGGCTGCATCCCCAGCAGTATGACCAGCAGGTCGAAGGAGGTGATCCTGCCCCTCTACTCTGCTCTCATGAGACCTTACTTGGAGCACTGTATGCAGTGCAGGTTTCTCCAACATAAGAAGGACATTGGAGAAGGACAGAAGCTGTTGGAGCGAGTCCAGAGGAGGCCATGAGGATGATCAGGGGCAGGAGCACCTCCCATATTGAAGACAGGCTGAGAAAGTCGAGGCTGTTCAGCCTGGAGAAGGGAAGGCTGCGTGGAGACCTCTTAGCAGCCTTCCAGTCTCTGAAGGAGGCCTACAAGAGAGGGACTCTTGTAGGGGAGGGACTCTTCATCAGAGACTGTAATGATTGGAGAAGAGGTAGTAGATTTAAACTGAAATGGGGGAAGTTCAGATTAAATACGGAGAAGTTCTTCCCTGTAAGGGTGGTGAGGCACTGGAACAGGTTGCCAAAAGAAGTGGTGAACGCTCCATCCCTGGCAGTGTTCAATGCCAGGGTGGACAGAGCCTTGGGCGACATGGTCTAGCGTAAAGCATCCCTGTCCATGGCAGACTGTTGGAGCTAAATCATCTTAAGGTCCTTTCCAACCCAAACTTTTCAGTGATTCTATGACAAGGGGTGAGGATGCAGTGATATGGGAGGAGGCTGGGTAAGCAGGGCTCTTCCCTGCTTGCCCAACACACTGTAACACCCTTACCACCCTGCTGAGGTCCTCACACTGGCCAGCAGGACCTTCCAGAGGACACCCATCACACACTAGGGATGCTGGTCCTTTGGGACCTTCTGCTTCCCTCCCCATCCCTGAAGCCTCAGGACCCCCAGCGTCAACCAAAGGAAGCAGGCTGCAGGCACCCATGCCAGAAACAGGGCTTGACCTCTTCCAGGAGCACAAGAAGCTTTGCAGTTGGGTTCGTCAGAGGGCGAGGCTGGTTTTGGGAAGCTTGGGGGAGCATGTGATGCTGTTGCCTAACTTCAGAGAAGTGAGCTGTGGCTTACCAGGAGCCTGGAGTCACACAAGTTTGCTGTGGTTTCCTGTTGCAGAGAGCGCCTCCCTCATCGTCACCCGCAGCACAGATTTTGCCAGCATATGGAGATAAGAAAGGAAACCCCAAGGTATTGCAGCACCAAGGGCCATCAGCACCTGGGAATGGATGTACCCAGGCTGGGAGAATGTGGGAGGAGGCCCAAGGGATACACTAGCCAGACCCTGTTTAAAAGGCTTTATTTTTCACAATATACAGTTTATTTACAATTGTAGCGTCTACAGTTTCACACAGAACTTTATTCCAAAACCTGCAGTAAACATTCAGGAAAAAAAAAACAAAAACAACACAAACCCAATCACTGGATCAGCAAAAAGGTATCAGGTAGTAATTCTGTTCATTGGAGTTTCAGTTTTGCGTAGCCACTGTCTACAAAACCCATGAACTTGATAAATCTGGGAGAGAGATTTAGGTTTGCAGTGTTTAGAAAAAGACAAAATACAGACATAAAGGATCCCCATGCAAAAGACTGCAGGCTAAGAAAACCCTGTGTGGGATTGGGCCGGGAGAAGGATCCAGGATATGGAAGCCTCTCGGCACAAGTTAGGTGACGAAGTTAACTGCAGCGTGTTGTATGCCCAGAGAGGGCCACAGGGCTTGAGCAAGGTTCAGGGCAGAGGAGGGAGGGTGGCATCAGGCACTTCATGTCTCAGGCAGCAGATCTGCCCATGCATCCATGTCCTGGAGCAGGAGAGCAGCAAGGAAGGGGCAGGAGTGCCACAGGGAGCCCCACAACCTCCTCCTCCTCCCCTTTCCCTGCATCCTCACACCCTATCCCCCTTGGCAATGCCACAGTGCACCACAGGGATGCTCCAGTGTGGAGCCACTGCTGTGGCACAATCCCCAGGAAGGAGGTAGGCTCCTGTGCTGTCCCTCCCCAGGCTTGGAGGGACGCCAGCCCCAGCCCGGGATGGGAAGAGCCAACAGCCAGGTGCCATACCATCAGAGCCGTCAGTCCTTCTTCTCAAAGGTCTCTTCAGGGATGAGAGTCCCAAAGGGGTGATCCCAGAAGCGAGTGGTGATGCCAAAGCCTGTGGGTGGGATAGAGAGAGCTGAGTCCACAGCACCACTGGCACCAGGATGCTGCTTGGGCAGGGCACAGCTTGCTTTACATTAACTGATGAGGGAGAGAAGGGAGGAAGGAAAGGCAAGGGTGAGAAGAAAGAGCAGAAGGAGCTGTCTGAGCCATTCTGGCAGCCCCATGGATGATAGCTTATCTGGATGGGGCGTTTTCTCCTAGGAAACCGGGCAAAGGCCAAGTTGAGCAAGTGCCAGGTTGGAGAAGGTGTGGGGAGGACTTGGGGGAGCCCTGGGCCTCACCCTCAGCCTCACCCTGTGCCTGACAACACCTCCAGGCAGGATGAGATGCTGCTCCAAGCAGGGACAGGCACCCACAATCATGTCCCTGCCCTGGCATCCCCAGGCAGCATCGGTGCCTACCAGTGAGAGGGATTGCTGCCTTCACCCCTGCAACATGCCAGCTCCCCATCCTCAACCTGGGAGCCAAGAAAGGTGACCAGTGGGGCTGCAACACCTCATATACCACTTATCCAGCAGCATGGGTGGGCTTCCCCATCCCAAATACCAAACATTTCAGAGCATCAGCTGCACACACGCAGGGAGGTGAGGCTGTGACAGCCCTTGCTCCCTGCCAGCACACATGGGCAATGGAGCACTACCTGATTTTTGGTGTTCAAAGTGGTGCTTGACGTGATAAGCCTTCAGGCCATACAGGTAGGTGCCCTTCTTCGGTGACCCATAGTGGAGGTAATAGTGCATCATGTCGTAGATGACGTAGCCACAGAGGCCCCCAACAAACACTGAGAGCCCCAGCACCTCGGGCAGCAGGAGCTGCAGGACGCCATAGAAGAAGCCGATCACTAGCGAGGCTGGCACGGGAGGAAACACCAGGCGGGAGCTGTCAAAGGGAGACTGGAAGCAGAGAAAGATGATGGGAAAGGGAGCTCCTAGCTCACCTCACAATTCCCAGCACATCCCTGCGAAGCAGGCTGGGAAAAGCAAACACCAAAGCCTCCAGAAACCCTCCCCAAAAGATGAGCCCAGCAGCGAGAGCAGCCACTTGCCCTCGCCAAGGTGGCTGGGCAGCTGGTGGCTTTGGAGGTCCCTGAGCTCCACAAGGACATTTTATCCAGTGAAGCTAGAGGGAGCCCACGGCTTTTTTGGTCTTCCCACTTGCCCTGACAGAGCTTGCAGCTTTGACTCCAGCTCCTCAAGAGCCCATCTTGCAGTCCTCATCAGTATTAAGTAAGGGCCCGGCTTGGGGCAAAGATGTCACAAGTCGCACATTGAACACGCACCGACAGGCTCCGCCTGAGCAAAGGCCACTGTTCCCATGCTCAGTGGGTGCCAGCAGAGGTGAGCTGTGACTCACCTTGTGATGCTGCCCATGCAGCAAGAAATGCAGGGTGATGAGATAGTAGTTACTAGCAGGTGGCTTCATGTGGAAGACAAAGCGATGGATGAGGTACTCTAGCAGGGACCACAGGAACATCCCCAGGAGGAAGATGAAGGGGAAGTAATATTTGTGGACGGGGATGGAGTACTCTACACAATAAGACATGCAGCCATTAGCAGGGCAGGTGATACGCAAGTGCTCTTCTCCTTCACCATCCTCTTCCTCATCAGCTTTCCCTCCCTCTCACCTGTCATCCACCTCCTGCCCTGAGCTTCACCAGGGAGCTCCTCAAGCACCACTCCTAGACACATCTTCCTTTGATTTCCACTAATTTATACTCGTTATGGAAACAGTTGGCTTCTTGCTGCCACAGGGAGCTGGTGAGGGGGGTCCCCTACATCCCAGATGGTAATGAAGGGCTTGGGATGTGCACTTGTAGGGACAACCCTGTCTGAACAAAGCTGCTTCACCCTCCAGAACAAGGCAGGAGGGACCTTATTTGTGGCGGCAGCACTCATCACAGTTAAACAGTGCTGCGGTGCTGTTTTTTTATTATCTTTGGGGAAAAAGAATGGGTTTGTTGGGCACTTTCCCCCACAGAGCATTTTTCAGCCACCTCCTCCTTTCAGGGCTGGCTGACAGCCCTGCATCTTTGCTGAAAGAATTCAGATCTCCCCCAGTGTGTTCAATTTTGGGGGAAAAAAAAAAAAACCAAAACCAAAACAAAACCACCAAAACCTTGGCAGCAAGGTGTCGAATGCCATGAGGAGCAGGAGGTTGCCAGGGCAGCCAGGCACAGCTGGCACCGGCTGGCACCTTGCAAAAAAAAACCAGGGAGCCCAGCAGAAGAAAAAAGGACAACAAAGACGACAGCCTGCCCTGGCCATGCCTGTTATTCCCGGGGGAGCAGACAGTGGGAGATTCAAGGGCAGGCACTCCGGGCAAACAAGCCCTGCACTGTGCGATGCCAACGGCGCTGAGAGCTGGGTTTGTTTGCCTGCTATGCTGGCATCCAGGGTGGCCCAGGGTGGGTGTCAGTGGGTTTGGCACACACTGTAGTGCCTGCAGGGCTTGGGTTTGGGATGGAAGGAAGGGAGGGAGAAAAGAGGGAGCAGTCTGCATGCTCCATGGCTCTATCTATGTTCTTTGCTGGGACAGAATGGTGTACATCAGAGGAGGGGATGGAGGTGGGTGAGCTCAGGCTTTAAAGTAATGCAGGCAGCTTTGTGCAGGGGACATGCCAGTGGCCATAGGGACAGGGGTTCACCCGCTACTTGTGCATGTGACTCGTATTGAGCATGCATGGAAGAAGGGATGCAGAAAAGATGCAGAAGTCTTCACCCCACCCCAGAACCAAAGTGGGAGCAGTGAGTGAGCACAAAGGCTTTGGTGCTGCTTATACCTGTGGTGAAAGAGGAGAAGAGCCTTGTGTTGCCCTGGGCAAGGGAGGTGTAGCTGACCCAGCTGAGATAGAGCACTAAAGGAGTCCACACCATGAACACCACATACCTGTGGGATAGAGGGAGATACCAGAGAGCGTCCCATGGGGTGGGGCAAGCTGTGTGTCATCGCCCCCCCTCCCCATGGAGGCACTGGCCAGGGCATGGCACAGACCCCAGGGGCTCACCACGCTGTCTTGGAGAGGGACTCGAGGAAATCCGAGTGGAAGAGGCGGATGGGACGATCCACGGGCTGGTGCACCCACTCATCGTACTTCTCCCCCAGGTAGCCCACCTGCCACAGCAAGGGCTTCTGCCAGTCCACCAGGTCCTGAGGGAGTAGACACCAGTTGTACCCACACACTGCCCTGGTACTGGACACAGAGTTGTGGGATCTGGAGCTACAAATCCCATTCCATGCCCCACAAGCAGCTGCTTCTTGTTCCAAGTGGCCCAAAGCTCCCTATAAGCAGTGGCACAGGACAGACAAGCAGAGCCAGACACACATCAGCTCCACCTACACACAAGCACAGGGCTGAGCTCACCCCCTGTGCCACTGGGTACCTGCCAGTGGTTCAAGGTGAAGGTGGCTGTACCAGACCTGGCTCAGAATCAGGTCCCAATAACACAGGCTCTCTCTCCACTGGGAGCTGCCAAGATTAGATAGTGAGCAGCAATATTGCCCCCTCACCAGCCACGCCAGTGAGGTGGAGGTCAGATGTGGAGCCCATCCCCATGGCATTGCCCTGACCAAGGGCTTTTCTCCTTGTGGAGAGGACACACAGGGCAACCACAGCTATTTGAGTGCTCCAGCAGTGAAGAGTGAAGCAGAAAGGGATGGGGAGCAGGGGGACAGGATGGGAATACAAACATTGGTTATGCTCCCATGCATAACTGCATTCAGATGGCTGCAAAAGCAAGAAGGGACCCGTGCAGCTGTGCATGTCTGCATGGGACAAAAATAGAGAGGCACAACCGGCAGCACCACCTCTGCTGCTGCTCAGCATCCCCAGGCACGTCTTCTGCTGGCCTGGCCAGATAAGTTGATTTCTTGGTCCCACCCCTGCCCTGGGACAGAAACCACACTCACGATACCAAGCCCCAGGCCTGGAACCTCTCCATTGTCCAGCCTATGCTGCGCACCACAGGCACAGCACCAGCACCTGCGGCTGTGCCACTGGTCATTTGTCAGTGGTGGCAGGGGGTGGCTCAGTTTGGAGAGCTTCATAGCAAAGGGCTGAGGTGGCCATGGCCTTTATTTGGGCTCTGCTGCTGGCAGGGATGGATGTGATCACCCAGGAGGGGAAACAACCCTAGCCTGCAGGGGTGCAAGGCATGGAGACACCCTCCATTGGGGAGGTAGAGGAAAAATCAGAGCAAAAATGTCTCTTTGGGGTAACTGATTTTAAAGGCAGGCAGCAAGTGAAATATAAAGGGGGGGGGAGGGGGGGAGGGAGTGAAAGGTGTTCTCCTGCTCAAAATAAAACGACCTTTTGCAAGATAAAGGCACACTCACTGAGGAGCATGCAAGGCTCCTCAGCAGCCAGAGGGTGCCACGGAAGGAAGGGACATTCGAAGGCACCTTGGGGACAAATCCCTGCCTCTGTGGTGTACTCAGATTGGAGCTAGCAAGACAGGGAGCACTCTGCACACAAGAGGATCACCCTGCCCAGGACAGGGGATCCCTTAGTACTTAGTCAAGGGGGAAAAAAGTGGAGAAAAGCAATAAGTAAGGCAAGCAAGGTGTGGACTGGCAGCACATCCCACTTGACGGGCATGGCTGCTGTCAGAGAGAGCCATTTCCTCCCACGCCGCCACAGCAGGAGCCTCCCAGCACAGCCACGCCTGGGCAATAAAGCAGGAGTGATGCTGTCTGTGCTGGGAGAAAGGGCAGAAGCAGCTGGCTTGGCCCACCTCCCTCCTGGCATCCCTCCCATCCCCGGGGTCAGCAGCCAGACAGCGTTCCTGCAGGGGACAGGATAGCTGGCCTTCCCCAGGAGCACTCTGGCAGATCCCCAGCTCTCACCTTCCCCACATCCACTGTTTTACAGCGGGGATCCATCCCTGCTGGGGTCTGGGTTGCAGCACCCACTGTCTGCTCATCCACTGGCTTGGCAGGGTTCTGGAAAAGGAAGGAAAACCCTGCAGTGAAGCATGGGTGACAGACATGGTTGCGGACAGGGATGGTGGTACCAGCCAGGGGCACGGGCACAGCATGCTCATGACTGCCTGCTAAATGAATCAGAGGGAAATATCTGATGAATTTAAGTCAGTCAGTACCTGCACAGCAGGTTCCCGAGGGATGTGGCCACCAGCTATCCTTGAACTGCCCATCAGGCATCGCACGCTCAGGTCTGTTTGGAACCTCTCCCCAAGCCCAGTGTTCAGAGCACCTCACCATGCTGCCAGCAGGGCACCCGGTTCTGGTGCTTCAGGAGGCATCACTGGGTTAGCATTCGCCACACTGGCAATGGGCTCCCTCCTGACCCCACTGCTCCCCGGCAAAAGCCTGACTCAGCATTTTGGTTCCCAAGGTTCACTTTGGAGCTGGGAAGCATGGCACAGCTGGTGGCATCACCCTGGCACCAGGCACCAGAAAGAAATGCACCGGGAGGGAGCTCACTGCAGGGAAAAGGCAAAGTGCCATTTGCAGGGTGGTGCTGGGCCTGGCACCTTGGACACAGGCTGTACAAGGTGGGGTGGGGAGGCTTGGTTTTGGCTAGAAAAGGCACACTGAAGCTTTGGGGATGAAGCAAGATGAGCCCAGATTGCGGTCCTACTGCCAGGGCTGGCCAGGAAACAGGAGAAACCTGCCTTGTGCAGAGCTTTGAAATAAATCCATCACCAGCCACCGGCAGCGGCCTCCTTCCCGCTGTGCTGCCAGCTCTGGCCCTGCTGCCACCACAGGGCTCGGTGAGGGCACGGCGTGCCTATGCAAGCCCAGCACCGGCCATGCCCCGCGGCACCGGCCGCCTGCCGGCTCCAAGGCAGGACGTGCCAAACATGCCTTCTCTCCTGCTTTGTCACCTTGAGTTACCCATTAACCAGCAGCAGGGTACGGTGTGGCCCGGCAGCCCTGACACACCAGTGCCCGCCGGGGCTCCCAGTTGTTCTGGGAGGAAGGGAGTTCTCCCCGCAGTCATCATGGGTCCTCAGTGCATGCTCTCCCCACTTCTCCAAGAGGGGTGCGATTCCCTGTGGGAATAAACACCCCAGCAGCCACTGGGAGCTGGGATGCAGGAGAATCAAGTGTCACCTCACTAGGGGGGACAGGACTTTACTCCCTGCCACATTGGTGACACCGAGGCAAGGCCCCAGCACTCCTTGCCAGTCAGGCTCCCAGTTCCTGTCCTGGGCTAGCTGGATTTCAAGCCTCATTCCACTGCTACAGGAGCTGCACTACCCAGCCCTGAGGCAGCCTCTCACCCTGGGGCAGGGCAGGGCTTATTTCCAGCAAGGCTGGACCTGAGAAAGCATCAGTTTTACTGGAGGCAGAGCACCAGCATGAACTCTGGACCACCACATCTCCCTCTGCAGGGCCCCCCACTGCTATTTTTGGCTTTGCATGATCTGTCTTTCAGGCAGACCTCCAAAAACTGAGGTGGGATGCCTTGAAATTCAGCTGAGGATGGTGAAGTCATGGCTTTGCCTCCTTCCCACTGATCCTTTGGGAGAAAATTTGGCTTTACAAGAGAAAGAGATGGCTCCTCCTTCCCCCAGAAAATGAGACCCTGCTCTCCACCTCAATGCTTGCACCTCAGCCTTGCTGGCAGCAGGAAGGATGCTTAAGAAAGCACGCTGATGCAACCCCCGGGCACCTCTCCTCCCCTTCCTGACATATCCACATGCCTCTATCTCCTCTGCCCACGGACACCCGAGCACCACATCATGTCCAAAGGCTTCCCTGTCCTTCCAGGTCAAGGAGGTGGACAGGGGCTCAGATCGCACCTCACTAGCAGCACCCAGTCTGGGCAGGTCTGGTGCCACCAGTGTAATACCATCGCCCTGTGTGTTCCCTTGCAGCACCCTGCCTCACCCGAGTCACCTCCTCCTCCTCAGCAGGGAACCATAAGGAAGGCTCTCCTCTTGCTCATCCCAGGGCTAGCACCAAAAGAACCAGCAGCAGTGGCGTAATGGGGTGCAAGCCATGCATGCATGCCCTGGCTCGCTCCTTGGAGCGGCAGCGCACTCCTTCCTTCCCGGAGCACACAGGGATCCTTTACGGACCAAGAGCCATCAGCACCCAGACCAGCACTGGAGCTTCTCCTCCTCTTCCTCATAAAAGGTGGGTTTGAAGAAGGCTGAAGGGGTCTTTGCGAGTGCCAGGTTCTGCCTGTTGCCTGTGTGTGATGCTGATGCATCAGTGTCGTCCCCAGGCAAACAGGTCCTGCCAGGAATGATGTGCAAGAACCTGATGTAACGAAGGGAAAGTTAACACCTACAAAGACCATGTTCCCACTGCCACCCCAGCAAGGTGCTGGCTCTCCTGCTGTGAGGCAACATGGCCAGACACTCAGGGCACAGCATGATGTGGTAACTGGGTGACCCTGCACCCACCTCCGAGCATCCCTCTGCCCTGCACAGGTCAGGCAGGGAGCTGATCGCTGGTCCTGTGCCAGCCAGACAGCACTGGCTGTAGAATCCTAGCCTGTTTTGGGTTGGAAGGGACCTCAAAGCTCACCCAGTTCCAACCCCTGCCACAGACAGGGACACCTTCCAATAGACCAGGTTGCTCCAAGCCCCGTCCAACCTGGCCTTGAACACTGCCAGGGATGGGGCAGCCACAGCTTCTCTGGGCAACCTGTGCCAGGGCCTCAGCACCCTCATAGGGAAGAACTTCTGCCTAAGAGCTCATCTCAATCTCCCCTCTGGCAGGTTAAAGCCATTCCCCCTTGTCCGGTCCCTACAAGCCCCTTGTCAAAAGCCCTTCTCCAGGTTTCTTGTCAGCCCCTTTAGGTATTAAGGACTGTTAACAAGGTCTCTGCTGAGCCTTCTCTTCTCCAGGCTGTTGCTGCCCAGAAGCAGGGCTCAGGATGAAGGAAAACAAACCCAGTATGATGTGGGCAGGTACAAAGAGGAGAGATGGTCTGGCATGAGGCTCAGTGTGCCTGGGACACAGGCAGGAGGAGAAGCTGGAAACCTCACCCTGGCCCAAGCAGGGTGATGCTGCATGCAGACCACTGCTCGAACAGCAGCCTTGGATCCAGTTTTCTATCCAAGAACCTCCAGGACCTTCACCAAGCTCCTAAGCCAGCTCAATTTGCTGTTGCCCACACAGGAGAAGCTGTGTTGGCAATGTAGGCTCGGGCATGCAGCACAAGGACACCCCATGAGGCACAGGGAGCCCAGGCGAGGGCCCCACCCGCAGTGGCATGGTCCCAGCATCACCATCCCACCAGCATCACCATGCCCGGACAGTGGCTGGCAGAGCCCCCCGAAGCTGCTTCGCAGCCCATTAAACTGGGTGCAGCAGGACTATTAAAATGAGGTGGAATTTAACTTGTTCTAATGACAATAACAATAAAAAAGTCATTTCTTGTTGCAATGCCTGCAAAGAACATGTGAGCGCTTATGTCCAAGTGAGGTCAGGGTGGGATGGAGAACCAGGGCAAGCCCGACATGGGGTGATGTGGGTGAAAGGAAGGGGAGGACGCCAACCCCAAGAGGCATGGGAGATTCACCGTGACTCATGACCACGTCACACACCGCAGAGAGGCTGTGATGAAAGTCTCTCATTGCTTAAATTGGAGGGGTAATTAGATGATCCAGTTTCCCTCTGGCAAGGCTGCTAAAATCCACTGTCTAGTTTGGGTAATTGTTGCTTCTCACTTTGATCTCCCCTATATATTCTGCATATTTATGCATAGATAAAGAGGAGGGTTAATTTGTCCTTAGCCAAATGAGGCTGGGTGATGCAGAAGAGGGACCTCCAGCAGCAGGATGGAGCCGAGCTCCCAAGAGCAGCAGGAAGAGGCACAGAGAGGCTTGCCAGCCGGATGAAGGCTGCCTCTCATCTTCCTCTTTGCCTTTCCTGCACTAATCATAGAATCCCGTACTGGTTTGTGTTGGAAACGAGGTTAAACTCATGGAGTTCCAACCCCTGCCACAGGCAGGGACACCTTCCACTAGACCAGGTTGCTCCAAGCCTCGTCCAACCTGGCCTTGAACACTGCCAGGGATGGGGCAGCCACAGCTTCTCTGGGCACCCTGGGCAAGGGCCTCACAGGGAAGAACTTCTTCCCATTTCCAAACATAAGCAGGCAGGGATGCTGGATGCCTGCAGGACCACAGCATGGCATGGGAATGGTGCAGTTCTGGGACTCCCGATGGATGAGAAGCACCAGCAAAGCCGTGGGAGTCCAAGCCAGACTACAGCAATGCAACACTTCCTTCAAAGAACTGCTTGGGGTCTGCCAGCCCAAAAGTAGCCAAAGCAAAATCCTAAGCACCAACGATGGCATCAATTCCCCTTCTCCCTCCAAAGGATTTTTGGGGGTGGCAAGTCTGTCAGAGCAGCTCACACAAGGTGCATGCTAGATGCAGCACAGCCAACCTTGCCATGCAGCAGGCAGCTTCTTTGCCTCTGCCCCCCCCCCCCCATGTTACAACCTGGGATGGTTTATCTAGTGCCAGGTAATGTCTGATCTCCCTGCACTCCAGTGTTATCACGCCGCGTATTTGCATAGGGACGGTGGCAATTCCCTGTGGTGCGAGAACTTGTTTGTCCGGAACCTCCCTTTGCCCCAACCCGTTGGGCTCGTCACGCCTGCGAGGAGGCGGCAGCAGCAGCAACGAGTGTCCCAACAGAAGAGGTGCCATCTCTGGGACCCAGGGAATGAGCCAGCATCGCGCTGGGGCTGAACAAAACCCCATCTGTGGCCCTGCTGCTGATCAGGGCTGAGGCTGCGCCACAGGGAGAGAGTGCAAACAACCAGCCAGAGGGACCGAGTGGTCATTGACCTTGCCAGGATGTCAGGAGGGGAAAGCACTGAACTGGGCTAGCAAAGGGGTGGGGTGGCCCCACTGCTCGAGCATCCTGGGGCGGCAGCACCCGCTGCCACGCTGCCTTCGGAAAGTCCACCCAGCAGAAGTGCAGCGTCCTGGGGCACTTTCCTTTCTGCATGGGCAGTGGCTGAGCATGGGGCTGTCGTGGAGGGGATGGTGCTGAGTCACAACCACCCTTATCCCACACTCAGACGTTGGGGAGGTGACCAGGCTCCTCACTGCAGTGCTGGCCACTAGCTGCCGGCAAGTCCTGGTGCCCTGCACCCCAGTCCCCGAGGGCCAGCAGTGCCAGGAAGATTGCCCTGCCCCATTGCCCACCCCGTGCCACTCAGCTCTACTAAAACCAACACTGAGCTGGATGTCCCCATCTCCCACACCCCTCCAAAGACCCAAGCACCTCTCTGCCATGCTGGCATGTCAGGATCCACTATCAGCCCTGCCATCCATCATGGCCAGGGTGGGATGTGTCCATGGGATGGGATCCCAAAGATACCAGGCTTTGGATGCCTGGGACATGGTCACTCTCAGGCCCTGAGCTGCCTGGACTCTATGTGTCTTGGGATCCTCTGCCCCAGAGAGCCCACCCCCACTGACATTGACCCCCACAGATTTGCCTGGAACCAGCATGCTCCATGCACCTGGGACCTTTGCACCCCGTACAACTCACGCATACAGGGGTCCAGAAGCCTCAAACATGCCCTGTCCCAAACACAGCTCATGTTCTGAACACCCCAGAACCTCCACAGCCTACAGCTCTGACCTGTACCTGGATGCCATATAAACCCTATATGCTACATGCACCCCAAAGCTCCACGGCCAGTACACCCCAGACCTTAAATAGCTTCTGCATGTCCTGTACTGCCTTAAACCCATGGAGCCTGGACATAGGATCCCTTAGAGACTCTGTACAGCTCGAACTGCATGCACCCTGGACTTGGGGTGCGCTACAGACTCATGCACTGCTCAGATCCCACACAGCCTGAGCAATCCAATGGGCTCTGTATGCCCTGGACCTGGGACACCCCAGATGTGGAACACCCTGTGGGCTCTGTACACCCTGGACTTGGGAGACCCCATATCTGGGATACCCTATGGGCTCTGTACACCCTGGACCTGGGACACCTTGGACCCCCAATGAGCCCTGCACACTCTAGACCCGGGACACCCTCTGTGCTGTCAACCGCGGCCGCCGGCGTTACCTGCTCCTCGCCGGGCTCCATCTCCCCCACGTAGTACTGCTCCAGCCAGCGGCGGGCGTTGTCCGAGTGCCGGTGCGGCGGCCCGTCCAGGGCTGCGCTCACGTCGGTGCCCGCGCGGCGCCGCAGCAGCTGCTCCCCTCCCGGGTGCAGCCGCACGAACCCGCTCAGGTCGTAGAGGCGGCGGCGGCAGGACACGAGGCAGGCGCCCTGCGCGCAGCGAGCCCGCACCTCGGCGGCACTGAACGACCGCGGCGACGGTGCCGGTGCCGCCGCCATGGCCCCGCTGACGGCAGCTTCCTTTCCCTTCCCTTCCCGCACGGCACCGCACCGCACCTCACCGCTCTGCCGGCACGGGCACACCCGCGTGTGGGCATATGCCAGCCGGCCACGCCCCTCAATAGGCCACGCCCCCCCGGACAGGGCTTACCCGGGGAAGCTCCGCCCCCTCACCGAGAGCGACGGGAGGGGAACGGGGAGCCCAGGGGTGGGTGATGGGGGGCCTGGGGCACCCCGGGGTGGGAATAAAGCAGCCACAGGGGGGTGATGCAGGAGGAGGGCTCCAAGGGGGCACCCCAGGGAGGGCACGGGGGCACTCGTGAGGGTGGGTTATGGGGGGCACTGTGGCACTCAGGGGTGGGGGGAAGTGGAGCATGGGCACCCTAGGGGGAACTATGGGGGATAGGGATATCCCTGGGGGGGTAACTGGGGGTACGGGACATCCCTCCCCCAAGCTTCGTGGTGGCTGCGGCAGGGGGAACCCAATCCTGGCTCACAGCCCACCCAGGAGAGACCACCCCTCCCCAGTGTCACTTGCCATGAGGAGTTATGTGTCCCACAGCTAATTAATACTTAATTACATGTCGCACATGTGATTAGCCAGGGCAGACCAGCACCCCCAGCCCCTCTCCCCCCCCCGAGAACCACAGACAGATAAATCACAAGGAATGACAAGAAAGGAGCTTTTCCCCCACTCCAGCAAAGCACTCCCTCCAAGAAGCACTGGGGCTGGGGGGGGGACAACACTGCTGTGGGGTGACACCCTTGACCACAGGTTGGACACATACTGGCATATTTTGCTGTCACGGGCCACAGCCGGTGATTAAGGTGGGGTTTGGAGTCAAGAATGAGGGGACGCCCCCGGCCCTGCCCCAGCACCCGGCTTTGGGGTATTAAGAGAGGCCTTTAATCAAGGCAGATGCAAAACTTGTCATAGTGGCTTCACCTTCCAGCCCTGCTCCCAGCGTCACATGGAGCTGTTGGAGCAAGTCCGGAGGAGACTATGATGATGATCAGGGGCTGGAGCACCTCCCATATTGAAGACAGGATGAGAAAGTCGGGGCTGTTCAGCCTGGAGAAGGAAAGGCTTCGTGGAGACCTCATAGCAGCCTTCCAGTATCTGAAGGGGGCCTACAAGGGGGCTGGAGAGGGACTCTTCATTAGGGACTGTGGGGACAGGACAAGGGGCAATGGTTTAAACTTAAACAGGGGAAGTTCAGGTTAGATCTTAGGCAGAAGTTCTTCCCTGTGAGGGTGGTGAGGCCCTGGCACAAGGTGCCCAGAGAAGCTGTGGCTGCCCCATCCCTGGCAGTGTTCAAGGCCAGCTTGGATGGGGCTTGGATCAACCTGCTCTAGCGGAAGGTGTCCCTGTCCATGGGAGGGGGTTGGAACTGGATGAGCTTTGAGGCCCCTTCCAACCAAAACCAGTCTGGGATTCTGTGATTCTGTGCGGTCAAAACCATCCCTTGGAGGCATTGCAGGGATTAAGGTCTCTCCAGTGAGTGTGGAGGCAGTGGCACCACCCCAAGGTGGATGCTGAAGGAGCAGAAGGGACCCCCGGCTGTGGCCTCACCAACACTGCCCCCCGTGGCTGTGCTGTCTCCCTGCCGCCCAGGCCGGTCCTGCCGGTGGTATGGGTCCAGCCCCACCACAGCGTCCAGCGGTTGCTGCAGTTCCTGGAGCAGCAGCCCCCAGCGCGTCCTGGTCTGTCCCAAGCTCGCCCCAGGGCCCGCGAAACCCGGGAAAGGCATTTCCTTCCCTTCACACCCACACCCAGACAGGACAAGGGAAGGCAGGCCAGGCGCCACGGTGATGGCCCAGGAGCCAGGGGGATGCTCCCGGGTTTCTGACTGCCCAGGTCCCTCGGGCACATCGTGCTGCAAAGGGCCATGAGAGGGGGTCGCTTGTGGTTTCAGCTCCTGGCAAGGATGGCATCAGCTTTTGCCAGCTCCGGTTTCCCAGCACAGCACAGGGTGCACCGATGGGTCTCTTCTGTGGCGCCCACCTAAGTACGCAGGGGTTGCTGTCCCAGCTCCCCCACATCAGGACTTGAGGACATCAGTGAGCTAACACCGTCTGCCCTCGCTACAGGTTGCTGACAGCTCCTGGGCTCCATGGTGGGGCTCTGTCCTCTGTGCAAGGGACAGGGATGTCCCCAGGGTGGGCAAGCAGACCCCCAGCTCTGCGGTGAGGATGTCACCCGTGGGAGCAGGGATGCTCCAAGCACTGGAGGCACTGGGAGAAGGTTGGTGCGCAGGCCAAGCTGTATGACAGATGCTGCTGTCACGGCAGTGGAGAGTGTTGCCACTGTACCCCCATCCAGCCACAATCCTCATCCCTGTCCCCACATCGTGCTGGCCCCCAATGCGAGCAGCATCCAGGAGTGGAGCCAGGTGATGATTAGCCTGGCCCAAACGAGAGCAGCCAAGTGGTTTTTGCTTCTCAGCCCTGAACTGGTTTACCCACCAGGCAGACGCCGGGGCTGGTGTGAGACAGACACAGGAATGTGCCACAGGGCTTTGGGCAGGATCAGACCCTATAGTGCAGGCACAGGCTGGCACTGGTGGAATGGTGCTGCAGCCACAGGGGAGGAGAGGGCTGACACAGGCACTGCAGCATCCCTATGGAGAGCTTCTCCTTGGCATGCTCTCCAACATCACTCTTCCTTGTTTTGCTGCCAAACTGATCAATGGAGATTAAACTTCCTTCTCCATGCATGGAGAGGCTTGGCGGGCACAGGAAAGGCACCCATGCTCCCCATCCCCCTGCTAGTTCTCCAGGGCACAAGAAGAGTTTAAAAAGCTCACGGTGTGGGCTGCCCCGGGAGCTTTCTTGTCCAGGTACACTTGGAAAGCCAGTGTGGATGCACTGGGCAGCCCTGGGCATACACTAAGCAGGCGGCTGAAGCAAGTCCTGCCAAAGCAGCTACTCGGCCTTGGCCCAAAGGTCCCCCGTGCTCAGCAACCACCTGTGCAAAAGCCAGCAGTGATAGGGCAAGATCAGGCACAGCGGTATCTCCACAGATCATTGCTGGTGCTGCGCATGGCCTGGGATGGAGCTTCTGCCCTTGGAAATACCTGATCACTCCCAGAGCCCTGGCAAACCCATGGCACTGGTGATGCCCTGAGGGAAGTGGTTTCACACCCTTCCCATGCTCCTGCCTCGTGCCGAGTGGCCAGTTTAATTCAATATCCCCTTGTCCTGCACCAGCAGAAACCACAAAGGGGTCACACCGTTTCCCCAGCACTCAAGAGTAACCATGGTCCATGACCTTGGTGGCTGGATGTCTTACGTGATGTGCATGGTCTGACCATGGCAGCATCCTCAGAGCTGGTTCAGTGTTAAGGGTGCCAAGACGTCCCCTCTTGAGCTATGCCTGCCTTCTTTTAAAGCCTGACATTTTAAGAGATTTGGCCAGATCTGGGAACTGTTTACATGTTAACAAACAGCAGGTGGCTCAGGGGAAAAGCAGTCAGGGACAGAGCAGATGGAGGCGCTGGAGTGGGTGCAGCAGCACGTCCTGTCTTGATTGCTGGTGCCGAGCACAGCAAGGGCAATACACTTCTCATTGGGTTCTGGGCAGGTGAGAATAAAGCATTCCAGTTTCCTTGCAGTAGTTATTTCTGCATTGAGCAAGACCGCTCCCAAAGCAACCACCACACATACTGCAGGGTGTGAGACAAACACCTGCAGCGTCCAGGAAGAAATTCCACTTACCTGTGCAGGGTTGCACAAACAAGCACAGCAAAGTGCTTTTCTTCCTTCCTTCGAAGCCTCAGCTGCCCTCCACCTCAGGCACATTCAGATACTATGGAGATAGACCCTAATGAACTGTAATAACACATAAACGCTGGCATCCATTGGTCCATCACCCTTAAATCGCATGCGTCCTTTCCCTCCCAACCTACGCACGCACTCGAGCATGGAAATGAAAACACTTCCGAACTGAAGGGCTGGCATGCAGGAAGGTGGACAGCAGGAGCTGCCAGTAACAGCATCCTCACCCCAGGCCCAGCTCAGCACCTACTGAACTTGCTGGGGGTGCTGGCACTGCCTGCAGCCCCCCTGAGCTGCAGGATGTGGGGTTTGGTTCAGCAGCAGCTCAGACACTGCCTGGCTTCACTTTCATAGAATTACAGAGTGGTCTGAGTTGGAAAGGACCTTAAGATCATCCCATTCCAGCCCCCTGCCATGGGAAGGGACACCTCACACTAGACCCAAGGCTCTGTCCAACCTGGCCTTGAACACCACCAGGGATGGAGCACTTACCACTTCTATGGGCAACCTATTCCAGTGCCTCCCCACCCTCACAGTAAAAAGCTTCTACCTTCCATCTAACCTGAACTTCCACTGTTTCAGTTTGAACCCATCACCCCTTGTCCTGTCGCTACAGTCCCTGATGACGAGTCCCTCCCCAGCATCCTTGTAGGCCCCTTAAGATACTGGAAGCCTGCTATGAGGTCTCCACCCACTGTTTTCCCAAGAGGTGCCTCACAACCCATGGGCAGCTACCAGGCACCATCACATTATCCTGCTGTGAAAGTCAGTCTGGGGGTCCCTGCAGCAGGCAGTGAGCCCCACAGCTACTGCAGCTCTCTGGGGCTGCTGTGTGCAGGTATCCAGAGCAGGATCCCAGTGTGGGGTGCAGGGAGAGGGCTATGGGTGCAGCAGCGACTGCCACACTCGGAGGGAGAGCTGCGGAGGGCTCCCCAAGGAGGGAGAACCAGCACAGCAACATCAAGTTCTACCAGAAGAGCACTTAAAAAAATATCTTTAATGGTATAATATTTTCAGAGACACCCATCTGTTTATTCCACAGCAAAGCTGGCACAAAGGCTGGGAGCAGGCATGGCACATGGCCCTGCACATCAGGCAAGCACAGGAAACTGGGATCAGTGCTGGCATGGCATGGTAGTAACTCCAGCGGGTTCAGCCCTCACCACCCATTTGCCCAAAGCCAAAGCTCAGGCCAAAGCCTACTCAGAGGAGCTCGAGGTGCA